TCTGCTGCTGCCAAAGCCTCTCCTGCTGCTGCTTGTTTGCACTTTCTGACCATCATTTCTAGCAGCATTTTAGGGTCAATGACAAGCTCCATGTTCCAGGAGCTTTGGCCAGATGGCTTTCGTGGTATCGCTTGTTTATTTTCACAGTTCTTGCAGCAATCCTTGTTGTCGTTGCTACCCACATGCCGCTCCTCTAGCACATTTTATCCAGCACATTTTATCTCTCCTTTGTGAAGTCAGTGTCACCTAGGGTTTTTTTTTTTGCATGGGGTTGGCAGGCCCTGTTCCTTTACTGTGACCACAAAAATTCACTCCACAGTAGCACTTTGGCCCACTTGCATCCAAGCATTTCAAAAGGACTTGTTTTAATTTTCACAGTTTTGTCTTTGCCTCTGCCCCTGACTCTTCCTGATTCTTAAACACAGGGCTCCATTAAAAGTGGAATCCTCCCTTGTATTGAACTATGCAGAAGTATTTCATTTTTTTTTTTAAATCAAGATGCTTATGAAAACCTTTCCCTGTAAATGACTCTGTTTCAATTCTGTTATCTCAGTAGATTTATGGGTTTTTTTACATAAAAAAAAAAACTTTCATGTCAAAACCTATAAAGGCTATCAGTCCATTACTTTCAATTTTTAAAAATCCTGAATTTAAAAGAAAATTGCTTAAAAATGTTTTTTGTGCATAATTAACTTGTGTTAAACTTGAAAAAGCATAATAGTTCCAATAGGTTGCAGATAATGTGAACTTACAGAGGGATGTGCTTCAGGATTTTTTTTGCAGATGATATTCCCTATAGATTATGAACTTTGCCCTCCATATTTCAATAGGAACTCATGTAAGCATCTTGCCAGGAAAATACTGGGGGAAAAAAAAAGCTGGAAAAAGGAAGCCAGAGAAGTGCTAAAGTAAAAAAAATGTGCTAATGCAAGAAAAATGGATTGTGTAATGATTCACAAACTCAAGCAGTCAAGATGGAGAGGGCACCTAGATTTCCTTAATGAAATGCATTTCTTTGTTCTGAAGCACTGCCTGGCTTTATCTTGTGTACTTTGACAAAGACCATGTGCAGGTTAAATATCAGCGTGGCAGTGACTTTGCACTGGCTCTCGCAGCTCTGGAGATTCACAGTCAGCTCAGAGCACTGGCCCTGCCTTGAGCAGAGGGATTAGACCATCTTTGATTTATGGATTTTAAAAGTCAGATCTTTGCAAAGGAAGGATTCATGTGTTTTTGTAGCCTCAGGGAAGCAGCCAGCTGTGAATGGCTAACCTTTATTGTGGGATTTCTGTTCTCTTTCATGTAAGACACAAACTTATTCACCATAACAACCATTAAAAACTGTGTGGCATGAAACAGTAAAAATATAAAAAAGGCAGCAATACTCATTTTTGAAGGAATATTAATTTAAGCCAGCTTCAATTCCATAATGGAAAGATGTACAAAATACTGTAATTCATAATGGCAGGCAATTTTAAACTGGAATTGTTGGAGCTGTTCCTCTTACGTAGGTATAAATAATGGCAAATCTGCTGAAACCTGTGAAAGTACAATGCCTAATTTTGGCTCGGATTCTGTTCTGGGTTCTGTGAAATTAACAATGTGATGTTAGATACACACAGGTGAAATAAGTTCAAAACATTTAAAATAGCAAATGGGAAATCAGAGTATATGAATGCTTTTCTACAAGGTTTTATCACTTTGTTTGCATTTTTCTTTATTTTGATATGACAATGATATTAAACTAAGTTTTGACTATGTAATAAATAAGAAAATTTGAATAATAAAACTCACCGTGTATTAATTAGAAAGACCTATTTTTTTAGGTTGTAATGAATTAAAACTTATGTTTTTGATGGCTTAATATATAATTCTGTTTTCCTCTTAACTTCATAAATGTTTATGGTATTGCTAAACATCAGGAGGTCCAGCTTCTGTATTCCACTCCCAGTTTTCTTAACCACAAAGTCTTAAAAGCATGAAATACTACCACAGTCCTCACGAGGGTGTTTGTGGCTGTGGATTGTCAGTTGACACTCTCCCCCCTCTTCAGGAAAAACGTGTGCATGCTTGTGTAAAGAGAATTAACTTTTTCATTCATCAGACAATACTGTGCTTCCTGGGAAGTTGGAAACAAAATGGCATGCAGGAGTTTTAAGGCATGAACTGACTGTATAGAATCAGAGAACCATTGGTAAGGGAAAAGATCCTTAAGGTCACTTAGAGACTGTCACTGTCATATTTTCTGGAAAATCCCTTCACCTGGATTTCTTCCCCTGGGAAGCTGAGAAGCCTCGGAGAAAAATGAAAACAATAATTATCTGATTCACTTCTCCTGTGTTTTGCTGCTTTGGAATGGGGTTTGGGCATTGTTTACTAAGCAGTTATTGTTTCATTGGTTTCATGTGAATTGTTTTCACCTAATGACCAGTCATAGTCCAGCTGTGTTGAGGCTCTGGGAAGTGACAAGTTTTTCATTAGTGTCTTGTTAAACCTTCTGTTAGTAACCTTTCTCTATTCTTTAATATAGTTTTAGTATAGCATTCATAATATGATATGATATGATATAATGTAATGCAATGTAATGTAATATAATATAATGTAATATAATATAATGTAATATAATATAATATAATAGCCTTCTGAGAACATTGAGTCAGATTCATCTTTCCTCCCCACGAAGGGGGACCCCAGAAAATATCACAAGAGACCTTAATAACTGTTAATTTTCCACTGCCACCCCCAGCACTAAATCACATCCCTGAGTGCCACATCTGCATATCTGAATGCACATGGACAATACATTTGAGAAGCAAAAGTATTCCCATCCATTGCCATGGACTTATGCATTACAAGTAAAAACAAATAAATACTTTCTTAAAACTTTCAGAGCCTTTATGCCCCACAGCATTATTTTTAAATGGAGGCAAAGTCTTGGAGAGGCATTCCAAGTGTCTAGGGCAGGTACCAGAGTGCAGCTGCTTGCCTGCATACAGGATCTGCTCTTGTGGCAGCAGAGGAGGGCCCTTACCAGGCTGTGCAGTTTGTGCAAGTCAGGGCAAATTCAATGTGCTGTATTTCCGTGCGCTGGATGGAAAGCAGATCCAGGTTAGAGGTTTCAGCTGTTGTCACAGCTCTGATAAGGTCAGGAAGGTGACTCACTGCTCCATCTGGTCATGAGGAGCTGACACAATGCAGGGCACACTAAGGAAAAAGCACTGGGCATTAGTTAGGCCCTCACCAGTTAAAACATGGAGTGCCTTAAAAAGAAAATACAGCCCACAAAGCAATAAAAATGAGGTCAAAGTCTGTTCCTGTTTCAGATGGATAGCTGCTACCTCGCTAAATAATGAGCCATTAAAAGTGAACAATATTTGTATTAGTGTAATTCTGTTTTTCCTGAGTGAAGTACAGCTGCCACATGAGGGCTGTGCTTGAGGAAACTGCCAAGGGCATGCTGTGTGCTGGTAGGTCAGTGTTTAATGACCCCCTGACATATAATAATCCAACTACTAGGAAATTTTACAATAATCCAGTAACATTTTTGTCCCAACATTCACAATTTTCAATACTGCAAAACCTCATATGAGTGGAAAAGCATTCTTACAACATCTTGCTATTCCTTTTTTCTGCTGCTGACCAATTGATAGATTGTCCACACTACAATTGTTGGAAAGGGAAGAGAACTATTAAGTAAATTGGTAAATGGATATACAAAACCCCAGATGTTTGAAACATGGACAACAGAATATAATATACTGTATCTAAATGAATAAACAATGTGTGGGAAAAAAATAAATCAAAGATGTACGACTCCCTACCCTGCTGCTCTCAGGAACATGGCCTTTTGTCTGCAAGCTCATCCAAGCAGAAAGTGATTTCTATTCTCCAGAATCACTGGATCAGATGATGCCTTTGACAAGAGTGACAGGGGCTGGTTTTGCCTCCAATCCATCTCAAGGGGCTTGTATTGACACTGACTTAAGGCTTACAAATTCCTTTCATGTAATAGCTCTGAAATGTGCTTTTTCTAACTATGTGTGTATATATTCTAAGATTATTCTGGCTCATTATGTTCTTTCTAAATTAATAAATTATACCTTGGCAAAAAGATCATATGTGTTCTTGTGTGATGTATGCTTTTTGTGCTATATATGAGATGCCTTTTAGCTGCGTTAGTTTGCCTCAGAAAAAGTTTAGCTCTCTGGGCTGCACCTTAACTATAAAAATTTGTTATAGTCCAAAACATTCTCTAGCATCCATTACTTACCTAACATCCTTTTGGACAAGACTTTGTTCCAGTCCAACATAAGAACCTACTATTCATTGTTTGCTTTTATACAGAAGCAGTATTTTCAACAAACATGACATTTTTCCCATTGTAAACAGTCGGTATAGAGAGCCTGATTACAAGGGTTCCTTTATATTAAATGCAGATGAGCTTGGTTTGTTGTTTTTGTTTGGGTTTTTTTTAAATTGTAGAGTTTGTCTCTGTTGCTTTAATCATACAAGATAAAAACAGTAGAACAAATGACCGGAAGAGGTGATCAATACTACAAACTCCTTCTGATCCTCAGTTATTCTGTTTAGAGTGCAAGTCCTTCTGGAACTTATGGGAATTTGGTTTGAGGCCCAAATTCACAAAGATATTACAAAGAAGTATCTAGCGTTCAAAGTTGGTGACTGGGGTGGATTCTATTACGATTCTACTACTGCCAGCCAGATGCAGGTCACCCCTCTGAGCCGAGAGCATCTCGGAAAGCAAAGCACACGGCGGAGGTGCCACGCAGCTCCCACCGTCCTCTTCCTATCAAATCTGTCCGATTTGATCTGTCCCATTTGAGAAGGTCTCGGCTCTGAGCGGGAAACTCGCGCCGCTCCTTCCCCTCGGCATCTCCGCCGTCTCTCAGCATCCTCCCCGCTCGCAGGGCGGGCGCTGCGGCTCCGCCCGCCCGGCCCGGGCCCGCCCGCCGGCGCTGAGCGCGGAGCGACCGCGGGGACAGCGGGGACCGCGGAGGGACCGCAGGGACATCAGGGGGACAGCGGAGAGCCAGCGGAGGGACAGCAGGGCCGGCAGGGCCAGCGGGGGAGCCGAGGGCCGGTGCGATGCGGCGCTGGGCGCTGCTGGCCGCGCTGCTGGCCGCGCTGTGCGGGCCCGCGGCGGGAGGCGGGCGGCGGCGGGCGGCCAGCCTGGGCGAGATGCTGCGGGAGGTGGAGGCGCTGATGGAGGACACGCAGCACAAGCTGCGCAACGCCGTGCAGGAGGTGAGGGCGGCAGGGGCTCCCTGCTGCCGCCGCTCCCCGGCCGGGCAGCATCCCCGGGGCGGCCCTGAGGGAGCGGCTGCGGGCGGCGCGGGTTCCCCGGCCCGGTGCGCGCCGGCCCTCGGGGCTCGCCCGGTGCCATCCCGGGATGGCATGGCATGGGATAATGGGATGGCATGGGATGCAATGGCATGGGATGGGGTGGGATGGGCCGGGCCGGGCCGGCGGGCAGAGGTGCGGGCCATGGTCCGGCTGGTGACAAAGGGACAGAGCGGGGCGAAGGGAGGAGCGGAGGGAAAAGCCACGGGATGGTCTCTGTGCCGCGGGAGCTAAGGAGCACCAGGGCATCCCGAGCCGGCATTCGGGGCTGTAAGTGTCCTGGGAATGTGTGGAGGAGCAGCTTGCCTGTGGTGCGATTGCATGTCTTGATCTGAAATTGCTGGCCCGGAATTGCTCAGGATCTGTTTCAGAGCCAGAAATTGAGACCAGACCCCAAAGCAGTGTCTCATATGGTTGTCAAAACACGTTGTCCCTGCACTCCCCTTTCTTGTGGGCTTTTCATTCCCCTACTTCTTAAGAATCTTCCTTTCAAGTTCTCTTTTCCTCTCGTTCCAAAATACTTAGTCTGCAAAAACCTGTAACTGACAACCTGCTGCAGAAACAGACCTTGGTTTACTATAATTAAATTAATTTCGAGTCTTTTGCTGTCCTCTGGATGGTTTCTGAAATCTACCACTGTTATCCACTTCATTGAGACTGCAAATGCATTGAGACAAACCATTCTTTACAACGCTGTGAAGATGTTAAGGGTGTAATCAGAATTTCTGTCTGGTTTTCTGTAGTCAGTTCTGGATTGCTGCCTGGGTGCAGCGCGAAGTGTGAATTGTTTGAGCAGAGTTTTAGGAGATAAATGGCACTTAGATTTGCAGCTGTTGTTTAAAATAAACAGACACACCAAAAGGAGGGATTTTGTCTTGGGGAAAATCCTGTTGTTCATCCTGGTTGAACTTTTGGCCTCCTAGCTCTGTTACGGTGGTTGCAAATAAAAGGACAGATTTATTCTTGCGTGTTTGCAAGACTCACGCCCTTCTTCATCCCACAGAAACAGCAGGAACTGAAACAGAGAATTAAATTCTGGATGTGTGCACCTTCATCTGCAGGGTTGACTTGAAGGGGCTTTTGTTTCTCTCTCCTCTTGTGAGGAGATTTTCTCTTCTTTGTCAGAATGGAAAATCTGCCTGGTGTTTTCTGCGAAGAGCAGAAAGCTGGGCTCTCCACTGACACCAGCCTGTGCAAATACCAAATTGCCAGTGGCCTGCACACTTTTTCCCCTCCCAGGGACTGGCTTTGCTTCACCTGCCCAGAGCTGAAGGGTTTAGCCCTGTTTTTGTGGCCCATGAAAAGAGCAGCTGCAGGCAGTGTCTGGAGCAGGTAGTGTCAGTCACTGGGGCCTGCACAGCAAGCATGGCTCGACCTCTTTTGTGACATTTTTGCTAGTTTTCAGTTGTTTTGTTATGTTTTTCTTAATTTGGCAGATGGAAGCGGAAGAGGAAGGGGCAAAGAAGCTGTCAGAAGTCAGCTTTGAGGATTTACCTCCCAACTACCATAACGAGTCCAACACGGAAACCAGAGTGGGCAACAGAACTGTTCAGACCCATCAAGAAATTGATAAGGTATGAGAAAACTTGTATATGGTGAGCTCCCCATTCTTAAACAGGTTTTCTTCAAACCTCCCCTGCCCCAGCCCAGTTTTACATGGTTATTCACAAAATAATTTGGAGTGTAAATTTTCCTGATGATAATTACTTTGGGGTTTGATTGTATCTTCTGTGCTTGACTAGTCACAGTGTTAAAGACACCTGTCACGAAAGGTTAGTGTGAAATAACAATTTATTTTGAAAAAGGGCCTGCTAAAAATAGGGCACAGCTACAGCTATTACATGGGGAATGAAAACCCAACCATCTCCTGCTCAGTTGGCTCCTACAGTGTCATTTTAAATAGACAGGGAGGTAGCTCTGTCATCTGCTTTTCCCCTCTGATTATGGTTTATTAAGAGTGACAGCAAAGTGGGGAAAAAAGAGGGGGTGGGAGTGGGTTAATGATTGCAGGATGTAGGGCTGAGAGTAACAAAGGACTAATAAAAACTGTAGTTTGATTTTTGTTCTTTTCCGGCATCAGGTTACAGATAACAAAACTGGATCAACAGTTTTTTCTGAGACAGTTATCACATCCATAAGAGATGGAGAAAACAAAAGGAATCATGTAAGTGAGCACGTTTCTTTCTTTTTGAAAATCAAACAAAAACTTTGGGTTCCTTGTTCAGAAGACTGTGACAGAGTTCACCCAACAAAATTTTGGAATGTTTTGAAACACAAAACTGTTGGGGTAAGCAAAAACATCTGTGTTTTTTAATTAGCTTAACTTAAGAATATTATGACTTGGAAACAGAGTTCCAGTGTTGTGGTTAATAGACAGGTTTGACTATTTGTCTGTCAAATGTAAATGTTAAATAGCAAAGGTGGTTACACAGCCCTTTCCAGTGAGTGTGGATAAATCCTTAGTATAACAGTGATCTTGTTTTCCATTAAAAAATGCTTCATAGATTTAAACAGTTGAAAATAAATAACCCCAAATCATTCATTTATGAGCAATCTTTGGAACAACAGATGGCTCTATTTGCTTTTTATGCCCAACAAGTGATGGACAACTGGTTCTGAAATGGCACTTTGAGGAGAAGGGAGAGAGATGGGACAATAAATCCCCCTCCCCTAAAAATATGGTTGTTTAAGGACTCTCAAAGGAGTTTAAAGATCAAAAGATCAATAATATTCTTTACACGAGTCTTGCAAGCACAGATACATTTGTTAAACATCAGTAGTCCCATGAGAAATTCAGCACATACCACTGCTTAAAAAAATTGGGTTTTCTTTGGTTATAGTCTTACCAAAGTGGAATATTTTTGTGCTCTTACTAAGACTGGGCTTGCCAGGTTTCCTCTGAGAGCTGGCTTCATCTGACTAATAGTTTGTGATTTGATTTACTTCAACATACCCTGGCTTTTTTTAGAACTTACCTCTAGTTCTTTCACAGAAGCAGCTCTGTAACTATTTTATAAATATAATTATGGAAATCATTTTATAAATGTAATTATGGAAAAATTATGTCAGTAGTTCCAATTTTTAATGGATACAGAACCTGAAATTAGTGCCTCTTTTCTAAAGTTTTCCCTCTTGCAGGCTCATGTTTTTATACTGCTATTTAAGCTTGAAAATGACAAGCAGCAAAATATAGCACACACAAGCAACTTTACTTTTTTTCTTTTTACTATTAACTTTACTTTTTTCTTTTTACTGTTTTGCAAAGCTTGTAGCTTAAGTGAAAACTCAAGGTATAAAATAAATTTTAATTATTCTAAACTGCAGCTGATTCCATACAAAGTGTTAACATCCTACACGGTGCTTTTTAATAAGTAATGAAGACAATACAATTTTTTTTTCCAAGCAAATGTAATCATCATCTTCAAACCCAGTGTACAAAGGCAAACATTTTAACCTTCTTAGCACTGCAACACAGCACTAGTGATTTTCATCATGTATTTGGCTTGCCTGTGGTGGCTAATCATTCTCACAGCTGCAAGAATTACTTCTAAATGAACTTTCTCCAGGTTTCATGCACAGTTCCTTATAAGCTTCATATATCAAGGTACAGCTGCATTTTCCATCTGGGAAGTTTGCCTCACTGCCCAAGCCAGTGCTGCACGCAGAGCTCTCCCAGTGCTCTCAGAGCTCCAGCTGAAGGATGTGAGGGCTGAATGCACAGATGATTTTTGTCTGATTTCGTGGTGGCAGCCTGGGTGCAGAGCTGGTAATGCTCATTTCCCCCCTCACACTCATTCTGAGCTTCCAGCATGCCCAGGGTACAAACACCTTATTTAGAGGTTGCCAACTTGGAGGAGCAGCAGCCTCCAGATATGCTTGGTCCTTGGTTAAGGAGAGAGTGAAATTAATGTGGCTAAGAGGTGCCTAAAAGGAGCAAATCTGAAAATGCCTGCAGACTTTAGACATGAAGGGGGAATATGGATCACTTTTGCTATTGCAAGGACAAAGAAATATTGTAGGAGTAATGCAATTAAGAACGGGAAGATTTGGGTTACAGCAAGGAAAGGAGTGGTGCTGTGGAGAGATCTGTGAAGCAGAAGAAAGATTTTGTCCAGATGAAAAGGCACTGTTGCTTAGGTCTGCAAACTTAACGTGAAAGTCTTGGGAAATGAGTTGCAGAAAACTTTGCACTGGACCCTTAGGTCACTTTTATGTAGGCAGATTTTCATACCTGAAGTTCTGTGAGACACTGTGGCACGTCCTGGTCACTCTCCAGGCCACAGGTGGTGGAAGAGTTGTTCCACTGGTTCCACAGGCTCAGTTTGTAGCCCTTATTTATACAAGTCAGGGGTTTTCACAGCTCCTGCTCTTTACAGATTTGGTTGGTAGAAGGAAGAATTTTCCAAGCACTGTCACAAACCACATGCTCTGAAATTTAAGCTCAGTGTCATTCATTGGGAGCATTGGGTAGCTTGCAAATTAATAAAGTATTTTCAGTCAGAAATTCAAGCACAGAGCACAGCAAAAAATAACAGAATTCCTCATCATCCTATGAAAATCAAAATCTTTTCTAGCTCGTTGGCTAGGTGTATATCAGGGGTGATGTCTTAGCCTAACCAAGGAAGAGCAAGGTTGAAAAATAAAAAGAAGCAAAACTGGTACTGGTAAGGTTCACTACAGAAATATTAGTTGCATTTCTTCTCACTTCCATTCAGAGCAGTAATTTACTCTCTCTTCCATTATAAGCTCTCTCTTATAATTCAAAGCTAGTGTACCTGAGCTTTTTTCTTCTCTCTAGTGCTATGATAAATAATAAAAAAAGCCTCTTTTTAGCTAGGTTGTTTTTGTGGGTTTCTTTGCAGTTTTTGGTTTTTTTTTTTTTCAAATTTTAGTAGTAGTATATCTGTTAGCTTTCAATTCTCTTTTTTTGAAAGAGATTGTTAATGATGCTGGTGTCTGGGGAGAGTGAAGCAGGGAGCTGGAAGAACAGAATGCATTTCTCATTTCACTGCCAAAGCAACCACTTGGTTCCTCTTTGGGCACCTTGTCTATGATTTTGCCAACCATGTACTGAAGCTGCTCTCTCTGAGGCTCATACTGCTGCAGGGACAGGAGTTCCTACCAGTGCTCTGTAGAAAGGAAGCTTTGGAAACTGAGAAGGAAGAATCAATGGAGTAGAAATTGCAATTTTTCCACTAGCAGCACTGCAGGAGAGGAGTCAATGGCAGAAGTTTGAAAATGCAACATTTTAGTGTTGACTTCTGCTCCCCAATATCTCAGGGAGGACACTTGCTTTGGGCAGTCTTATATTTGGGTCCAATTTTTTTGTTGCTTTTTTCACAGAACTTTTAGTCCCTGGTGACTTGCACTCAACAACCTTAAACTATCAATACACACTGTAAGTGCATTCCTGGGTTGAAAGCCAGGTCTCTGCCCAGCCAAAAACCACGTAATATCTAAATCTGGTAGGTTTTGTATATTTAATAATGTCATTCCCTGGTACTCTGAGTGCTCTGCCCCATTAATCACTGGGCAGTGCAGTTCTGTTCTGCACAGCAGCCACCCTTTAGGGGATCCTTGGAGGAGGAGCAGATAAGGCAAATTGTGCTTGTTTTGGAGAGCCACGGCTCCTCAGACAGGCATGGTTAGACATCCTCAGCCAATTCTTAATGTTTTACTGAACCCTCTCTTTTGGTTCCCTTTTCAGTTTTGGTCTCAGCAGTGTAGAACGTGAAGCTTTGGGGCAAGTGGGAATAGTTATAATTTTAGTTTAATTTACTAAAGTTATCTAAACTGCTTGGTTAGTAATGAAAAAAATAGTAAAAGAGTGACTAGGATTTCTCTCATATTTCCTGTTAGTCTAGTTTATTTTGTTTGTTTTCTGTTGAGTTAGGGAAACACAACTATGTAGTACTAATAGATACTCCAAAAGTCTTCATTAGCAATTCCAGTCCATGCCTGTATTTAGAATTGGTAAGAAATTTGCCAGATCCTCATGTGCTGTAATGTGGTATTTCTATTCCAGCTAAACCCCAAAGAAAAAGAATATTTTTATTAAGTTGTTTGAAGTGACACCTCAGCATTTTTCTCTCCCTGGGCTGTTACTCTTTGAGTAGCTAAATACTGAGTTTGGGGATCCAGGGCTGTGCAATTGGATTTCATAGCCCAAGTCATAGGGAGATATTAAAGCAAATCACCATGAAAGATTTTGTTTTCTGCCTCTCCTAGATCAACCTGTTTATTCTAAGAGAAATGTTTGGGTTCTCTTCTCTTTCTGGTAACATCCATCCAGAAGAGTGAATCTTTTATGCGTGCTGGTGGCAATTTTGTGATCTGGTGACATCTGTTAAGAGATCATAGTATGGATTTTCTCCATTGAGGGTTCATCAGCAGTGTTTCTTTCCTCTTGCCATACACATGTAGCAAATTACCCATGAGAGGAAAAGCTTTAAGGCACATGAGAAGTTTTTTTCCACTGGTTTTGATTACGTAACTTAATCCATTGGCTCCAGCAGCCGCTTATTTGAGATTTTAGCTGAAACCATGTTATCTAATTAAGTTGCAAGCCTTAGCTGGAAGGGTAACAACAGCAGCTAAGTCTTTAGGAAATAAAGGCTACAGCACTGGATGTATTGCAGAAGTTGGTTTTTTTAAAATCTTTTATTTGCATCTGTTATAATCTTGGACTGGTTGAGATAGATGCAGACGATGCAGATAAATGGGTTAAAGCTGCTTACATCTGTCTTGTCATTGGTAAGGTGGCAGAATTTGCTGTGGCTGGGAGGTTGGAGCAATAACACATTGTTCCATATATGATGAGCCTAATGTCATCTTTGCCTGGGCTTGAGGAGGGCTAGATCCTACAAAATCTGTGGAATGATACTGGTTTTACACCAGTGAGTAGGAGGAGAGAGAATGAAGGTGATCAGTGATTGCTCAGCATTTCCATTTGTGTAGAGTCAGGAAGAGGTGTGAGATGTTACCAGTCTAGCTGGAAGGTGTTTTGCACTATGGTCTATGAAGCTAAACCATGGAAATTGAAGGAAAATGGGGAATTGAAGTTGTGTCTGTTGAGAGGAGAGGAAGGAAGGAGAAGTCTGTAGAATGGTATTGCTATCATATTTCTAGAGCCCCATACCTTCTGGGTGGTTTTCTCACAAGCAG